GTTCAGTTTGCTTGTGAAGTTTCCATCTCCAGAAATATTCGCCATTGTTCTTGGTTGTTCAGAAAATTGAAGATACCAGGAAGAGCGCTGTTAGTTGATAAAAACCTCGGTCAGCTTGCAACTTATCAGCGAACTGAGAATTTTATATCTCGCTGATACCACATCCAGTCGAACGTTGTAACTGTCTCAGCAACTGTGTGTTTATATACTGTTAAACTTTTAAGGGAGTCGTTTTCTAATTGGATGGCGAAGTCATCAATTTCCGCTGAAAAGTGATCGACATGATAGATATGTCGTTGCTTCGATTTATCTGTCAACATTGCCTCGCGTTAATTTCCACCATGACTGACAAAAAAAAGATGGCTACTTGGAAAAATTTGGCTGAAAATAATACTCTGCAATGAAGAAACCCCAGCTACACCTTAGACCACAAAAGTTCAAATTTGATTCACTCTTGAACTCGAAGCCGGAAAGGAATATTTTCTTTAATATAAATGTTTTCTCCATGTAACTATACCCAGGGGAAGGGGCAAAAGACCTAAGAAAGTTTTATTCAACGAGGCTTTGCCCTAATGTGCATCGCCGGATACATTACGTTCAGGTTGCATTATGAAAATTTGCCCTGCATTTTTGTTTTTTATGTTTTCTGTTGTAGTGTTGTATCTGCTGGACAGAGAACACAATTGGGCACAGGTGCCCTTAAAACTGTTTTATTAAAATTGAACGCTCTGACATTAATTTTTTATTGTGTCAATTTAAAGCAATTAGAAAACTCGCCCACGTTCTGTATAAGTGATAGTCAACGGAGCGGCACCTAGATGATCATTTGCTGAAACTGAGGGCGGCCGCGTGGGCTGTAAAAAAAAGAAAAAAAAAATGAAGATCTAGCCATCCAGTTTCTTGTACGCTGCTCACTTATGATTTTTTTCTCAGTCTACCACATTTACGTTACCGGTAGATTTTAAGTTAAAATGTAAGTAACTAGTGTAGAGATGTCTTACCTTTCTGCGTACATTTCGAAAACTCGCTCTGCAATTTTTCTATTTTCTGATAGAGTTTTGCATCCGAGTTGTTATGCCAAAAACGGCATGTTTCCGATATTAATCCTTTATTGTATCGACAAAATAGACAATAGACAATTAGACAAGTCGCCCCCTTTCTTTGTGAGCGATAGTCAACTGAGCGGCACCTCGAGCCCAATCCACACTAAGCCGGAGAAATTTCAAAACGGCGTGTTTACGCTGAAAACGCATCAAATGTTGAATTAGCTTTGTGAATTCTCTTTCTTTCGTTATTTCAGGACCGTAACATTGCTTTTTCGTAAAACTTATGTCGATCTACTAAATGTACATAGTTAATTATTTAAAGTACAGTTAAGCTGTCTGATTATGTTTTTCACTGCTGCTCTCACTGCTCTGATCTTCCAACAATACAGGATCGGGTTTAAAGGCGAGTTTATTAAAGTTAGAGTTTCTGTAACTAGCGAAGACACATCATTTACTTTCCCATTTAGATATAGCTCAGCATCAATACCCCAAGGAGCATAGCAGGCAACTAATGCCCACTGCACACACAAAATACTAGAGACTGAGTTTTTGTATCTTGCAATGTTCAGTGGAATCTCTTCTTCGTTCGCTTGTCCTTGATTGGCACGGTTTTATACCTGGGCTTGTTGATGTCGTAGTTTGTAGAAGATCTTTGAGTAACAGAAGATCGAAATTATCAAGCAAAACAGAACGAGAACAGAGGCTGCTTTGAGGGTGATATCGATGGACATGATAACCCCGAATCCAAGAGTAACACCAATAAACCACAAACAAATTATGACAACACGAACGCGCCTTAATGTTACGACATGTCTGTATCTCAGTCCTAACAGCACGGCGAGAAGTCTGTCCACACTAATTGCCGTCGTGGTCAAACCCGAAACTCCTGACAAAATCAAACTTAAAGCAAGATAGAAAGAAACAGGGTAAACAACGTTCTCGCTCACGTCTGTTATACGAGAAAGGATGATGGCTGTAAAGAGTGGTTGTACAATGAGTCCAACACAAAGATCAGTGACCGCCAGACATCGAAAGAAAAATTTCGTCGGAGGATGACTTTGTGAAGAGCAATGAGAATCAGAACATTGCCCAGAAATACGATGAAAGAGAGAAAAATGTTCAGAGCTGAGATAAATTCAAGTATGCCCACTGGCGATGGGCTGAGTGCTTCGTTCAGTTTGATTGTGAAATTGCCATCTCCAGTTATGTTTGCCATTGGTCTTGGGTGGTCGGAATATTGGAGTCACTGTAAAGAGCGCTGTTAAGCGACAAAAAAAACACCTCGGTCAGCTTGCAGCTTAGAATCAGCCTGAGAATTTCCTATGTTGCTGATAACTCATCCATCTGTCCCTTATAACTGTTAAGGGTCCTTTGTTTATTATTTTAGACTTTCAATTTGCCCATGTGTCAAATTTCTTAACATTATGAAGCTATTAGTTATACTGAAAAGTGATAGATATGTCAGTTCCTTGGGATTATTAGTCAATACTGTCTTACCTGCAGACTGAAAGTTTATTAAAAAGAATTGCGAGCAGTTAGATTATAAAAGAACTGAAATTAAAACGCTAGAAAAGATCGATAGTACTGAAACAGACACTGTGTGGTAAAGACATAAAGGCTAAGGTGAAGGACGAGCACATTTTTAATTCTTGCCGGCGTTTTTAGGAACAAAGTGTATTTAATAACTGTTGCACAAGCAGCAGCTAAATATGAATTGTTTTTTCGCCGATAATTTAGACTTATTTTTCAAATTACCCTATAACATGTTGTGTATAAGGAGTAAGCGATAAAACAAGACAACCCTAAAAAAAAGTAATAGACAATAAAACAGTTTTTGAGGCAGTGACTAGTCGCATGAACTTGCATATTGCTCTACAAATGTTTAATGAATAAATTGCCGCCAGCCTAAATAAGGCATTTAATTTCCTCGTCTGAAGAACCTGCACAGGAAGTAAAAACTTGATATAAGTTTAATTCTCAGGACATTTTACTCTGAATAGTTTGGAAAATGCAAATATCGATTATACCCCAAGCAATAAACCTCAGATTTCCTAAAATGTAACAAATCTTTATTTTCTCTTATTGGTAGTAAATGACTTTTTTTTTTTTTTTAATTCATTGCGAAATATAAGACAGTTTGCCTTTCGACTATGCTTTAATTAAGCAATAGAGCACTTTTTCCGTGTTTACAGAGCCTCATCTAAACAGTCTGCAAACCCGGAACGCAGTCAAGGGTTTGCATAACTTTCGAAAAATCTCCCAGCCTTCCGCTTTATTACGCCTTCCCGAAACTCCCGCACGCTATCATCACCTACTAAATCGCTCGTTAGTATTATCATTTCGGAAAAGGGAGGCGAATTTTATTTTATTTTATTTTTAATTTTATTTTTTAGTTATTAATTTTTTAAAAGGAGCCGAATAACAGACTGCTTTGAGGTCCATCTAAACTAAGGTTATTTGGAGTACAAACACTTCAGAGAGAAAAAAAAAAGAAAGCAAACGTTTTGCGAAAAAGGATATGGGGGCTCAGATTTGCCAAAATTTTAAGAATAATTTAAGAATAAACCCAATGCTGAGATTTTGAAAAGAATATAATTTTGTGTGTTGAAAATTTGTAAAGACAATAAAATTATGTTTTTAGCTAAACCCTGTACAATTATTCCTTTCTATAAACGGCAAAAACTAGCCAAGAACAAAAAACAGCATTAGCCCTATCTTCGATGCTGAAAACAGACATGTATACAGGACATTACGCGGCCGCGCGGAGATATGAAATTTATCTTGGAGCGTTCAATAGGAAATAGTTTTCAACGCGAGAAGATAAATTTCGTATCTTCAAGCGACTATGTAATTTTCTTTTTATTATATGAAATATTCACAATACATAACGTTTGTGGTGATTTTCCGAAGATTTCCGAAGATTTTCCAAAACTTGTCCGAAGGCTAGACGACCGTTTCCGAACACTTTCGGAAGATAAACGAAGATAACTGAAGATTGCCGAGGACGACCGAAGAAGATCTGAATATGTTTCGATCATACACCAAAAAATTTAAGTGTAATTAAGGGGACAAAAAATGTTATCAGAACTAATATTTTCTCATGTGAGGATATCATATTGCTTGTATCAATTTGTTACCTCTCGCTATACCAGTAACTTTTATATAATAACTTATTATATAAACACCAGTGAAATACCAGGATTTTTTCTTTTACTAAAACATCATATCTTCATCGTGCGAAGTGAAGATACTATTTTTATCTTTCATACTGTGAAGATATCATTCCTTTCTAATAACATTTTTCTTTTGTCCCTTTAACTACACTTAAATTTGTTGATGTATGATCGAAACATCTTCGGATCTTCTTCGGTCGTCCCCGGCAATCTTCGGTAATCTTCGGAAAATGTTCGAAAATGTTCGAAAATGTTCGAAAATGTTCGGAAGCGTCCTTATGGCCTTTTGGACAATTTTGGAAAATCTTCGGAAATCTTGGGAAGGTGGCCGGAAATCTTCGGAAAATCGTCAAAAACGTCGTCATTAGTATGTTTATATAATAAACAGAATATTACATGCCCGCTTGTGGAACTTTATCTTCTCGTGTTCAACTCAATATCTCACTCGCTCGTGAGATTTCGAGTTGAACACTCGAAGATAAAATTCGTAGCCACGCGGTGGCATGTAATATCCTCTATTTACACTATCTTACACTATATAATCTAAGAATATTCACAAGAATAAAAACAAAAAAACAAACTGCGGTTACAAACATAACAAAACAACGCATGTTGTAAAAACCTTGATTTGAGAACTTAACGTTTCGTATGCCTCTACATACATCATCAGAAGTATAAAACAGTCAACTGTATTACAATAAATTTAGAAGAAAAAACTAGAACCTAATAAGGAAAAACCGGTACCTAAAAAGGAAATAAATGACAATGGATAGAAATGAAAATAAACAGACTTGAAATCTGCTGAAAAAAAGTATGAATGGCTAGTAGAGAAGTTTCTCACTGCTAACATTTTCATTAAGTGCTGGTTGCAAATCGCGAATCAATAATGTTTCTGTAAGTTTACAAGAATATTTTAAAAACGGCAGAAAAAAAAAATAATCAGCTCAGCCTCGGCCGGAAAACCATACAGTTGGACCCAGTTAATTAGAACTAGGTTAGGGCCTGTTCGCACTACGCGAAATTTTGTTTGATTTGCCAACAAATCTGTCAACACGCAGCCATTTCTAGTGCGAACGATTTTTTGAACCCACCAAAATTTTTGTAAGCGCAACGAAACTTCAAAGATTCCGTCGACTAGCTTTGGAGGCTGTAAAAATTTTGTCTGGCGAGAAAATCCTTTGTTCCTTGACATCCATCCGTCACTGGGTCAATTTCGCAACATATGGATTACGAAGCGAACGTGACCGTATGACTTCCGCCATTTTGACTGAGCTAGATGGATCCGCACAGAAGCAAGATCGATCCGTGGTACTTCAATTATTATGGCTCGCAATGCTACCAAGATCAAGACCAGGGTAATCAAAGTTATTACGATTCCCAAATCGATACGCAACAGCAGTACTTCTTACAGTTTCCATCGCAGCAAACTCGAGCGGATTCACAATGCATCCACATCCGCTGAACACAGCATCCACATCCGTAACACCCACTGAAGATCGGACGACTGCTGCAGCTACCGGAAGCACAGAGAACACGAAAAAGGGAACAAAGAGAAAAACGCCAAGTATGAAACCTTCCCCTTTAAGACATGTCACGACATCTTGATGGTAAATTGATCAAATTACTGACATCCGTCACTAACAAAATTTGGCATCTTCATGTGCAAACAGGATTACGAAAACAAAAAATTGGTGATTACAAAGTGTAACAGGGCCTTATTTCGAATTCCCTGTTATTTCGAACTCTAAATTATTTCCCTTGAATTCACCCATTTCGTCATTTACTATCAGCTATGTCGAACTCCCGCTATTTCGAACTATTTTTCGCTGTCCTTGAGAGTTCGAAATAGCGAGTTCCAACTGTATTTCAACAGAAGGTTAGCCCTACGATGACTAGGATGGACTAGCTTCCTATGAGAGGGGAGTAGGAATATTTCTAGTCGATTCATGCTACAGAAACCGGGATAAGCGCCGGCCTGATGGGCCACTTGGCTCGTATGCAGACTTTTCATTTTACCTCTACCTCGCCAAAAATACGCCTGCACTGCAGCCTATCTTTCTTATGGAGCCTCGTTTCTATCGATGAACTTAAACTAACCTTAACAGCGTTCGCAATTTTGAAAATCGTTCACATTGCAAACAGGCAATTCAGTTTATCTCGTATGTATAAGCTACAATGTAACTTATTCACCCACCGACCCGGAAGAGCTGCGATGAGCTGTAACGAGCCACAGTACGAAGATCTAATTAGCCTTTAGATAGTTGGTTTTTGCCGCGGGAGAAAAGCAGGGGAAGTTGGAGAAAAACAAAACCCTCGAAGCTAGGGTAAGGACCAACAAATTGTTCAAGCTACTTACCGGAGACGCCAGCTGCGTCTCCTATTATTTCACCTACCTATTCTTGTATTATCTCTCTTGTGGTTTATGTTTATGGTTTTGCACAAGTTTTATGCCCGTGTACGCAGAACAAAATACAGGCAGAAAAAAAAAATGGCGTTGCATTTTAATGAGTTTGAATATTAATCGATTAATCTGTACTCAATGCAATGAATTAGTACGAACCATTTCGTAACATTTATGTTGTTTGATTAATAATGAAAGCATAAAGATAAAAAATACAAGACCAAAGTTTCTTTTTACAATCCACTTCTACTATATAAAGAGAATAACGTAACCGAATGTCGTGCAAAATGTTTACGATTATCCGATGATATTGGCACTGTTGCAAATCAGATAAGTAGATTACCCATAGTCCTCCATTTAAGAAAGTTTTTCTCGGAGCATTAATTTACAGCAAAGTCTGTGTGTTTAGAACAAGAAGACGTTGATTAACAAGCATCTCATGAGACAGTTTATTGCATGTCAGTTGCTGTGACTCGTGACGACCCGGACTGAAAATATAAAGCGAAAATAGACACTAAAACGCTTACAACGTGCAGATGGTTTTTATGCATGGGAAAACGAAGCGCATCAAAACCGCACTTGACAAGTGATTACTAGAATAAGAACACACCTTAAATTTGCATTCAAAAGTTTGAAAGGAGAGTTTAATAACTATGTACTTAGCTTGGATCATTTTACTACGCTGAAAAAGCCACAAATATTATTTTACAAAAAATGGTTTCACTGAAGTTGTTACAGTAAACCTACGAGAGCTCTGAAATAAAATGTCACCTGATTAGATTCGAAAGTCAAACTGATGAAGTCCACAGAAAACTGTTACTTGGCATATAAAGAAATGAACCGATTAATGACAATAAATTATTAACAACATTTATTTTGAGGCTAAAAACTGTCGTCAAGTCACAGCTAAGAAAGTTATTAACTCGTAATCGCTGCAGGATGTTAATTAAAATATTCATATTATTTTAAACTAATTGTTTTTTACGCCATTTGTTCCTTTTAAGAAATATTATGACCCGAACTCTATCTTAAAATTGCTTCCAGGTTGAAGCCCGATTTATATGTATATACAACTAACGATTATTTTCGACGAAAAATTCTGGAAATTGCGGTTACAATTTCGTGACGGATTTCTTGAATTCGCCAACAGTATAGAAATGGATTGATTGACGCGTTGGCAAACAAAATTGTCATTGAAAAACTCAAGGCCGCAATTTTTGTTGAATTTCTGCCCGTGAATTGTATAACAAAAAACATAGACAAATAGGGAGCATAACAGAGAATTAACAAAAGGTAAATATAAAACATGGTAGTCACAGATCTTCGATACAGCTGTAAATGCGGCGTGTGTACGTTAACTGTAATATTAACTTTAGGGTCATTGTCCTGAATCTGCAGTCGAGATGCAATCACAGTCTGTAGCTTGTAAAGGCGAATCTGAAGCGTTATGTAGGCCGATGCGCAGATAATCAGGCATACGCACACCATTGTGATATTGAAGACTTGGTAAATCCTGATGTTCTCGAACCATGTGACAACCCATACGCTTGTAGATGACCATAACAGGAGTAACACAATGGTAGCGCGCCTCAGAGAAATCGTCGCATTGTAACTCTGCTGCAAATACAACGCTAAGAGTCTATCCAATGCAATGGCAGTTACAGTTAAAAAGGAAACGGCTGAAAACACATTGGCAGACAAGTGGAATCCAACTCCAGCGATACAGAACAGGCCAAAGTTGTCGTTTATTTCGGCGGCTTTGTACATGACGTAAAGTGGCTGTACGAGCGCCCCAACGGCGAGATCGGACAGTGCTAGGCTGAATAGAAGAGCTTTCGAAGGAGGACGAAGCGAGGATGAGCATTTAGTTAACGCCCAGAGGATGGATGTATTTCCAGCGACAGCCGTCACGGATAAAATGGCATTCAGCGCACAATTGATGATGAAAGTTATTCTCATTGAACCTTGAGAATAAACAAGAAATCGAGTGAGGTAGAAGCAGGAAAGATTTATATGATAGCTCCATTCAGTGGAATTTCCTAAGCTTGCGTTAATCATCTTGAAGTTAGTTCGTGTTTTGTTAATCCGACGTTTGACTTCCAAGATCACTCCTAAACGACTTGACCGGTTCGGCTAAAACGGTTTTAACGGAGTCGATTGACTCGTGCAGATAAACAATATCTAAGGCAGGTGTGATTCTTTGGGCGTTATGACATGTTCATCTTTCACATGGAAATTGACACCGGATCTCGTGGGAATTCTCCAATCATGAAATAATGGGTGCACTGTTTGAAACAATTGACGGTTCCACAAGATGCAAACGGAGAGTCAAACTGTTTGGTCATTAAGCTACGGGGCCAACAAGCCAGGGATGTCACTACAATAAACGTAATTTAAATGGGGAAATAAAGAAATCCGGTTACGAGGAACGCCACCGTCTTGTAAGAAGACTAAAGCACAATATATTCATAAGCCTCGGGGTATGAAAATAATTAGCGTAATAGCGTGCGACAAAACATTTTTAACACGAATGTCAAATCTAGCTGATAAAGTCTCGTTTACCCGTGGTTATGCAAAGTTTTTGCCTTGAAGACAACGCGGGATATTTATCTCTAAAATAATTGCCCTTACAGTTTCAGAAGTATTTTCGTGAGGGTGAAAAAACAAATTACTTTTTTACATTGGGAAGACAGCGAATAAATGGCCATAGCAGTGTCACAATTCACTTCAATCAAACACGAATCTATGACGTCACTCATCTTGTGGCAAACCGTCAGCGATAGCACTTACGCTTTGAAATTGAGCCACGAGAAAGAAATGAAAAGATATGGCGGGAGATATGGCTCCTGTGGCTAGCAAAATTGTGACATTGGAATGTGATATTTGCAATTAATTCTATTTGGGATTTGTGTAAATTTGAGCGGATTGCAATGAAAAATATTACTTTGGACGTTGGTGGGCTCGTAGGCGCAATATCGGGATATCTCACACCTGAAATACGTGCGACACCGCGTTCAGCTGAGCTTTCTTCGTATACAGTCATGTCTTGTATAAAATAAAGAGAAAGTGTTAGCATTAAATGCAAGTGAGAAACATTTTATTTGATCCATCGTTAATTTTAGCAAGTATTCCCAAGTTCTTAGAGTCAAATAAATCTTAGCAATCGAATCACTTTGAGTAAACTTTGCTGAAACGACAGCGTGGGTTTCTTAAATAAAGACATAATATCACAATGGGTCACACATTGTATAATTTGTTTTAGATGACAAAGAAATCATTATTTGCTATAGGTTTTGATTTTCAATGAGGCTATTTTTTCAACGTTTATTTTCTTGACTGACATCAATGACAAGCTGTGCTGTCAAATTGCGCAATTCTCAGAGGATCTAAGAAATTCGCTTTACTGCATCTGCGAAAGTCGATGTTTTCTGTGATGATTTTTGCTCCTTTTCGAAAATTTCATAGAAGTTAATAATAAAAATTCCCACTCATTTGCCGTGAGTCTCACCTGATACATGCCGTGTTCTTACAATTCTTAAGTGCATCACGTACATACTACATGCTAATAAAAACCACAGCACTGCGCCTGGTTGTAGATATAGAGGATATTACACCGTGGCGAGAAGATATGAATTTTATGTTCAAGTTTCAAGAACAACATCTCACGAGTGAGTGCAGCGAACGAGTGAGATATTGTTCTAGCCATGAGATCTAAAACATAAAATTCATATCTTCGAGGTAACGTGTAATGTTCTCTTTATTATATAGGCATACTGATGACGGCGTTTTTGACCATTTTTCGAAGATTTCCGACCACTTTCTGAAGATTTCCGAAGATTCTCCAAAACTTGTCCGAAGGTCCGCACCAACGTTCCTGAACATTTTCCGAAAATTTTCGAAGATTGCCAAAGACTTTCGAGGAAGACCCGAAGATATTTCAATGATACAGCAACGAATTTAAGTACAATTTAAGAAACAAACTTGATGTCAGTGAAATCATCGATATCTTCACAAGTGAGGATATGGAAAATACGCCACCCAAATCTCGGATGTGGTTTCGCATGAATTTTACGAGTGGTGTGTTTTCCAGTAAAACACTCGCGATCGTGTCTATCTAATAAAACGCGATTTGTCTCGCCACTCAGTCCTATCGCATGTTTGTCGAACATGGACTAGCTACAGGACTACATTCGCCCTAAGTTATATTTTTGTCCATAAGAGCATTATTTTTCAGGCCCAGGCTGAATATTTTTACTTTTCTGCCGGTTTTAGGCTAGAAATATTCTTGTGAGTATTGTTAGATCAGATAAACGAACACAAGTGGACTATGCCCGAAACTGCGTCAAATTATCCGTACTATCTTCCCACTGATGCGTTGAAGTAATTTTGGACCCAGGCTACAGGCGTTAAGCCTAATATAACGCATATAATAATATACATGAAAAAATTACTCGATTCTGATTGGCTGAGAGCAGTGCAGTTCAAGTGTAACACAAGTGCAAAAAGTGTAACACCGGTGCAAAAAGTGTAACACCAATGCAAACTACACATCGTAAGTCTGGATTATGATTGGCTGAAAGACAATAGGAAATTTTCGAAGCCAGTGATATTACGTAAAATGATGAGGAAAATTTTGTGCGGAAACTTTGAAAAAAGT